GCAACGGGACCTGGCTGCCACCGCTGAGTGCGTCTCCCAACTAATATCCGGGAAGTTGAAGTCTCCCATTACGATAAACTTAAATAATTTGGTTAAAGGCAGATTAAACAATTCAGTCAGTTGGTGGCACTAACGATGTTAAACATGATGTGGGACAGAAGGATAACCCCGTCAGTGCAGCATGACTTGGAAGGGCATCACTTGATGTTGGAACTTGCAACTGGTGAAGTATATTTATCAACAGGGTTGAAGCCTCAGTCTGATTTATTTCTCATAGAGATAAAATAAGGGTGGGAGTGACATAATGCTATAAACACTATGAAGCATGAAATATATATGTTTCCCCATTTTTATTCTGCTATCCATGTTCCTGGAATGCTTACTTTTGCTCTTCTAACTACCAAAATTCGAAGGTTCTCTCCCATGGCTGGGCCAGACTTAGCTCTCAGAGGTCTCCAGTCTCTTCTAGGTTTCGTTCTATCCATCAGGCATCTCTGGTTCCTCATATGGCTCATCGCTACGCCAGGTCGGTTGCGAACATTCACTTACGCTGCTGTCACGCAAGTCATAATGACTCAGCTCAGGTGAATAGCTGGACCGTCGGACAACTTGCGCTTCTTTCTCAGGCTGAGGGCTGGAAGATTCATCAGTCTGCTGACACTGAGTTGCCAGTGTCTTGCCAGTTTTGACGTTGATCCAGCTTTCTTCTGATATAGAAATAACACTGTAAACCGGGAAGGACTCGTATTCCTCCTCTACATACGCTACGGACGATTCTATACTTAGAAGGGTAGCCTCACTCTTGTGAGGGCTGAATCCTTTCTCAGGTTCATCAGCACTTGGCAGTTCTTCCAAAGTTTGCACAATGCTGAGGCCGGATACTTGATTTTGGCCTGGCCAGCTACTGGGCCTTCCTTCAGGCTGCTCCACCTCAGAGGCCGGCAGCTTTTGCCTCTCTGCCGCACCTCTGCACTCTTCTGGCGCTGTCTCGCCAGCCCCGGGCATCGTGCTCACACTGGTCTGTTGGCTGCGGCTTACCAGTAATTTGCCAGTTTTTCTATTCAGCCAGATCCCATTTTCCAGTGAAATTATGCTATATGTCTGCAGAGCTTCCTCCTCTCCCTCTGCATATATCGACGATAAGCTCTCCAGCGTGCCCTTGCTTTCAGACTCCGTAGGCGGCTGCCTGGGGCTGGCCAATGCATTCCATAGGGTGTTGCTGAACAGAAACGCCTCCCCCACGGATGACTGGCTTCCTCGCCGTGCGTCCTGCTCTGCGCCAGGCTTGCTGCCCTGCTGTGTCCCTTGGACTTCTACCTTCTGGCTGTTTCGCCGAGACGCTTGTCCCTCCGCCTGTTGAGCGCCCTGCCGGGACTCTTGTGCCTCCGACGGCTGGCTGCCCTGGTCCAGCACCGCTGACTCTGCGAGACCACCCTTTTCGCCACCTCTTTGTGGCTGCGGTTCCTCTTCTTGGCTGACCACTTCACACTCCTGCTCGAGAAAGCGCTGGGCTTCACCCTCAGGAGGCTCTGGCCCGTGATCGTGAAGCAGCTCGGACCCTCCTGGGCACCCCTCTGCCAGGAGCTCATCTCTGCTAGTCAGCAGATCTCCGATATTCCTTCTGTCACTCTCCAGGGTGGCAGGTTTCTCAGGTTCAGGTGCAGCACTGCTCACCAGACTTCCTTTCGAGGCAAGTTTTACTTTTCTTGCGATGTAGTCCTGAAGCCAGCTCTTGTCCGTTTGCTGACTGCTGCATCTCATTAATTTGCCAGATCTTCTGTTTATCCAGGTATTTATCTCAACTGAAATAATGCTGTACGTTTGCTGAGCTTTGGCAGAAAAAGATGGCTTTTGTTTTGATTGGTCTGTCTCACTTGGAAGGCGACTCGGAATTTCAGTCTCGCTCTCGGAATCCAGCGGCTCACTGCCCCGTCGGGATTCTGGAGGAACAGGCACGGTGCTGTCCTTAGGAGACGCAGGCTGTTCACTGCCCCTCCGAGATGTAGGGGGAACAGAACCTCCACTGCCTCTCCGG